CCTTCTAGTTTCCATGAAGTGTTTAGAGAGTCATAAAAAAAAACAATGAAAATATTTCTTAAAAAACAGATGATCTCAACATTCGATGGACAGGTATGTAATAGCATGGCATAGTTATAGAGGGACAGAGGAGTGGGAAAATAAGAGAACTAGAAGGGTACAATCATTCCACCCATATTCAATTTCCAGTTTTATTTTCTTAAAATGACAAGATGAAAAAACTTCTAATAAGCACCATTGAAAAAAGCTGCCTGGCCAACATGGGCATGAGCTTAAATATTATTTAAATAAATTTCATTTCTTAAAAATACAGGACCTCTTAGAAACTTTTGACTCCAGGAAGAAATTTCCTGCATCATATCCAAAATGCTTCCCACCATGACAAATGGAATTTCTGATGGCCTTTACAAAAATGGGGATAATGGCTAGATAGCACCAAGAGATTGTGCAGGGTCTACAAAGTTAACAATCTGAATTTCAGGGGAGCTGGATCAGCCTCAGCTCTTCTATGTACTTCTGCATTCTATCCATCTGTCCATCACCAATTTGACTATACAGAGCAATCCCATTTGGCAAACTGTGTGTATAATAACCCACTCTATAATGGAAAAGCCAGTAGCAGCAAGTCTATCTGATGAAACCAGTGGAGCAGACTTATCAAGTGAGTAAAATGCAAGAAAACAGTATATAATGCATGAAGTAAATGATGTGTGGAGAGTATCAATGTTTCACTGTGAAATACCAAGACAAACAACACTGAACACAACTCTGTAGGATGTTCCTAATGCCCTCAGGTCCAGTTTTCTGTCATTTCCCCCAGTGGTGGACTCAAGCATGCAAGAGGTTTCTTTTTCATTTTTGTCTATGTATGCTCTTGCGATGTTTTGGAAAGGTATTTTTAGGAGTCTCAAAGGGGAAACAAGCAAGTCAATGCAAAAGGGAAAAAAATGGACCTTCAAAACCAGGGCAGGAAATCAAATCATTACTTTAACGTCAAATTTTGGCATCAAATGCTTTGGTCATACAATACTGTCTCTGTGGTTCTGGCTGTTTAGCACTAAACACCCAGTTATAAAAGGTAGGCTTGTTGTAGGTTTATTTTTTTTTTCCATTTAAGTTCTGACAAACAGTTCACCATCTCCCTGCACAAACTTGAGAGAGAGAAAGAAAAAGAGAGCAAGAAAGAGAGAGGTGGCTTGCTTTTTTTTTTTTGGCTTGTTTTTTTCTTTTTAATAATATGTAATAATCTATAAGTCTACAGGAACAAAGAAATCTAAGATGGCTGCTCAGCCTTGAAATGTACATGTTTTGCAGCACAGTTGTTGAAGAACCTTCCGTTGGCACAGATTGTTCTTTTTCACAAGCATACAGAAGCCTCCTTCTGCCCAGGACTCTTCCGTTGCTTTCCCAGAAGTCAGCAAGAGAAAGGGGGAGTTGAAGACAAGAGCAGCATGATGTACACACACGGAAGAAGATTGTGATTGGCCAGAGAGGCAGATTTGGGGGATTGGAAGAGATCATTCAGGAGTAGTCAACAGGAGGAAATGTGGTCCACCCAAAGTGATTTCAGTCAACAGCATTGTTTTTCAAGGAGAGACATTGCAGTCCAATGGTAAATGTGATTGGTATCCATTTGTGAAAGAAAAAAAAAATTAGAAAAAGAATAAGTTAGAAATCAATTAATAACACAAGCATGAAATTTTTCTTCTTTGAATTACCTAGAGCAGAGAGTATACAGTCATTTATAGCATATTTCATTGAATCTAAGACACAAAATTTAAGATGCACCATCATTTTAAGTAATACAAAGGAAAAGATACTTCATATTAAACTCTATTTAATACACAGTATTAAATAGTATTCTATTTAATACTAATACACAGAATTTTCTTATAAGTTAGGATTTTAATTTTATACTTATTAAAAGTTATTGGTTATATTTATGTAACATTGTTTTGTTTCCATGCTTATGCAAGAAACTTTGCTTTAAATATTGAACAATAGTTTAATTTTCTGAAGCTCTTTAGAACTGCCATTAAATTCAACACAAGAAGAAGTAGACAGTGCCTAACTCAGCTGAACAGATGTCTCTGCATCCAAGTCTCATATCTGGGCAGTAACACTGGTATCACATCAGTTTTCTGGTCAAAAGCAGTTGTAAACTGCCACAAATTACATAAATATTACATTAGTTTTCTGGTCAAAAGCAGTTGTAAACTGCCACAAATTATAAGATGCATCTAATTTCAGAGATGTTAAAATGTAAAAAAATACATGTCTTAGAATCATAGAAATATGATTGTTGAAAGAGAATAAATAAAACATCCTTAAATGCAGCTGCCATGTGATTTCAAAAACCTGGTGAGCCATCAATGATCTCATTCTGTAACTGACCTGAAAATGGGCTCACTGCAGATATGATTCATTTCCCACTTCTGCTCACAATCCTAACACTCCACTTTTAGCATGAAATAAAGTGCCATTTGACATAACGTGTCCCGTGCTCACCATGATTTAGGGAAAATAAAGCATTGCAACTTTTGAAATGCTACCAGGTGCTACTGGTGAACATTTCAAGTTACAATGGATTTCCTACATCATTTTTTTTTTGAAACAGAGTTTTGCTCTGTTTCCCAGGCTGGAGTACAGTGATATGATTTCTGCTCACTGCAAACTCCATCTTCAGGGTTCAAGTGATTCTCATGCTTCAGCTACCCAAGAAGCTGGGATTACAAGCACATGCCACCACGCCCAGCTAATATTTTTGTATTTTTAGTAGAGATGGGGTTTCACCATGTTGCTCAGGCTGGTCTCGAACTCCTGGCCTCAAGTGATCTACCCACCTTGGCCTCCCAAAGTACTGGGATTACAGGCGTGAGCCACCACGTCCAGTCACTTTCATCTGCCTCAATTTTCTGTTACTAACTTACAAAAATTTCTGGTTGTATTTAGAAGTAGGGGAATCGTGTTTTTAGGGAAAGGAGGCACTTGCTGGTAACTAAAGAATGATACATGGTCCCTGGGGTGCTACCACCCCAAGCCTCTCTCACCCCAGTGTACTACAGTCGAATCAGTCCCGGCAAGAAAGCCTTGGAACACAGGGACTTAGACCAATCATATACTGGAAAGGCCATGGAGATGCAAAGTCACCTATGATGCTCCAAAGAAATGAGACCACAAATGATGTCCTGTCAGTGCTGCCATGTGCCCAGATCTTTTTGACACCTTTTTGAGATTCCTTAAAGAGAGTTGTGGACTAACCAGATGACATCAATATTATCTTCTTCATTTTTTATGGATGGTGGAAATGAGGCCCAGAGAAATTCATAAGCTGCCTAAGGCCTGGAGACCAGATATGAACTACAGCATTCTGACTTCCAAGTCCACACTGTCCTGACAGTGGCACTGTTTTTCCTTTCATGAAATTTCCAGAAGGAGAAACATTCAAAAGAAGGAAAAGAATAAACCTAGGGCAATGATCATGTCAGTCAGATTGTTCCAACTGCATATTTTTGTTTTTCTATTTTTATAACAATCCAAAGATGTTTTGAACAACAATAGTTTAAACAATTTCTTTCTACTTCACTGATGTGTAATTTCTGCATAAATTTAGGAATAAATTGTAGGGTCCATTCAGCATAAATTATTTCAAATGTCAAAAAATTTTACAAAATGTTGGAGTTGGAATAATTTAAATTCATTCATTTTACAGATGGGGAAACTGAGGCTAGAGACGTGAGGAAATTTGGTATTAGCTGAATTGTTAGGGAGAACTGGATGTGCAGTGGTTCTCAAACCTGGCTGCAGATTAGAAACACTTGGAAGTTAAACCCATGCTCATGGGCTGCACCCCAGATCAATTCAATCAGAATATCTGGGGATGGTGCTGTGTCCCAGCATCTTGGTTGAGAATCACTGGTGCAAGGAACAGACCAACATTCTAAAATATTGGGTCAATCATTTCCTAGCTCTACACTTTGGGTTTTCCCTTCTGCAAGATGAAGATATTACTTCATCTAGTCTAACAGGCCTAGTGAAAGATTCAGATACCATTTAATTACTATTTATATATAAAAATTATAAACAATCCAAATAATAGGAGATTGGCTAAAAACTACAGCATCTTCAATTGATTGAATTTTACGCGGCTATTAAAAATAAAGTTTTCTAAAACTTTGTAAAAACATAGGATAATGTTTATGCCTAATGCTTAGTGCAAAAATCAAGATACAAAACTCTATGTGCATGGTATTTTTAAAAATCTGGTGAAAAGTACATGTGGTAAAAACTGGAAAGAAATACATCAACATTTAGCTAGAAAAGGCTACATATTATATAAATCCAATTATATAAATTCTGGAAAAGGCAAATCTATGGAAACAATAAAAAAACATAAAACAAAAAATCAGTGGTTTCCAGGTGTTGTGGGGAGGGAAAGATGAGTAGGCAATTCACCGAGGAGTTTTAGGTCAGTAAAACTACTGTTCATGGCACTATAATGTTATACATTTGTCCAGACCCACAGAGTGTACAACCAAGAGTGAGCCCTAAGGTAAACTGTAGACTCTGGATGATAATGATGTGTCACTGTAGGTTCATTAATGTAACATATATACTTTTTGATGCTGGATATTGATAGTGGGGGAGGCTTATGCCTATGTGATGGGGAAGGGTGTATACAAGAAATTTCTAAACTTCCTGCTCAATTTTGCTATAAATCTAAAACTGTTCTAAAAGATAAAGTTTATTAATGTACAAAATTAACTTGAGCCATATTGGCCAGCACCACTACAGCTGATTTATTTCTTCCTGCAATTCAAACAAACAACAAACAAATCCATTAAGGGCATAAGTTCAAGAGGAACGAATGCCACCAAAATATTGGGCATGTCCTATGTGAGGCATGCTTGTGAATTTCCTTTTTAAGTGGGAAAATATTAGTCCTGAAAGTAGAAAGATCATACTTTGCTCAAAAGATCAATATGGGCAGTTGTACTCACCATCCTTGCAAATGGCTCCCATTTGACACATTCCTAAGTCTAAGAGATACCCACTGGGGCAGCTTGTACAGTTCTTAAATCCTGGGCCATTGCACGTCAAACAACTGGTATCGCATCTATGAGAAAAATGTACAAATTTTAATCCATTCACACATGCACAGAGGAGGGAGTGTTTATTAGTGATCTCATAATGTCTTTAATTATCCCTCTGAAGATGACACAAAAATCTTCTCACAAAAATTGCTAGGTTTGATGACACAAGTAGACACTGTGATTTTAACAGGTATGGCACATGTACTTGAAACTGAAATATTAGTTTAAAGGTTTTCTGGTGCCCCCAAGGCAAAGGAGCAAAAATGTCAAAGATAAGCTGGGTTAAAGCTTCAGATCAGTGCCCCCAGGTACATGTTTAGACCTAGTGTTATGACATATTCTAAGTTTTCTTATTTTCTTATGAAGGCAGTCATAAAAAGAATTTAGGTCTAAAGGGGCAGGGCCCCTTAGGGCCGAGGGGGCAGATCCACTTACTTTTTGCAGGATTTGTATCCATTCTCTGAAGAGTGGTCAAAGTAATAGCTGATACTGCAGCTCTGCACGCATCGCCCATCCTCCATGAAGTAGCCCTCTGTGCAGTTAATGCATCCATCAGCTCCTGCTCCTTAAAAGCAAGACAAACACAGGAAATGAGAAAACCTCCATGGATGATTCTTTAACAGTTTGATAAAACGGCATCAATCTGCTATAATTTTAAGATTAACAATATACTACTCATGCTTTTTCTTAATTTCATTGGGAAAAAAAGCCTTCCAAGTTAAAATGGAAACTCTTGTCAAAAACATCGGCTCTCTTTTGAAAGAAGAGATATCACTGGGCTGTGTAAGTTTCTCAACAAGGACAGGATGCTGGTAATTGCTTGACTTTCAATGAGAATACATGCACAATTATCAAAGAGAAATACACTTCTCCAGCATTACTTTATAAGTATCAAGTGGGTTGTATGAGTGACAGCGAAAACCAGAAAGAAAAGCAAAACCAGAACTGGGAGAAAGAACAAAAGAACTAGGGAAGGTACCAGCACAAGTGGCACAGAAGCGGTGGCAGGGCTGGCAGTTCTGGCCATTGAAGTATCGTCCATCTTCACAGGAGACAGAACACCGGGATCCCTGCAGGCTGGAAGAAGTAAAAAGGGAGCTTGAAACACACTGTTGTGATCACGCCAAAGTGTAATGACTCCCCAAACTACCTATGTAACAGATACAGTTTCCCTCAGAGGCCAGTGGATTTGGCAAAGCTTCAAAGCAGGGGAAATAGCCCGTGTGCCCTCTTTTTTTTCCCCTCCCAATGCTTATAATGCTTCTCTGTGCCTCCAATGATGTCTGTAGCATACACACGTGCTGCTAGGCTTTCGGGACATTATCCTTAATTTGTTAGACTAATAGGCACACTCCTGCTTTGCGCCACATCTTAAGACTCAGACCTTTTAAAAAGTATTTGACTGACAATCAATCACACTGTCTAACAATATGCCTAACAATTTAATATACAGACTTACTACATAATAGTTATTTCATGATTATAAATGCAATACAAACACATTGTAAAATGAATTATGACTGAATAAAAGTGTACAACCATCCTGTCCAACCCAAAGCTCAAACTCTCTGGAGTAGCCGTTCTGATTGTAAGTGTTTCTGATTTTAGTCTTCTGTGGGTTCTCATCAAAGTAAGATTTAAAATACTTTTGCCTCTATTTCTTGATTTATTCATTTTAAACACTAATGAAAAATTTATCAAAACTGTCTAACTGTACTGCTGTTTCCCCAGTCATCTTGACTTTTCTTTGTTGTATTATTATTTAGTGTTTCTGGGAGTTATCTACATTATATTAAATAATCTATTTAAACTTCTATTTATCTAGCAATATGAGACAGTATCTAATAAGCTGTCAGAATGTCAAATGAGAAATGCATATTTTTCTCTCCTTTCTAATTTCTGTCAGCTATCATTTTTCATAGTCTATAGGTTGATTCTTGAAAATGAATACAAAAAATTTACTATATTTGTCTGGGCATGGTGCTTAAACCTGTAATCTCAGCACTTTGGGAGGCCACGGTGGGCAGATCGCGTGAGGCCAGGAGTTTGAGACCAGCCTGGGGAACACAGTCGGACCCCATCTCTACAAAGGCTTTAAAAAAAAAAAAAAAAGCCAGGCATGATTGTGCCTGCTTACAGTCCCAGCTACTCAGAAGGCTGAGGCCAGAGAATCACTTGAGCGAACTATGATCAAGCCACTGCACTCTAGCTTGGGTGACAGAGCAAGACTCTCTTAAAAAATAATTATAGGCCGGGCGCAGTGGCTCACGCCTAAAATCCCAGCACTTTGGGAGGCCGAGGCAGGTGGATCACGAGGTCAAGAGATCGAGACCATCCAGGTCAACATGGTGAAACCCCGTCTCTACTACAAATACAAAAATTAGCTGGGCATGGTGGCGCACCTGTAGTCCCAGCTAGTCAGGAGGCTGAGGCAGGAGAATTGGCTTGAACCCAGGAGGTGGAGGTTGCAGTGAGCCGAGATCGCGCCATTGCACTCCAGCCTGGGTAACGAGCAAAACTCTGTCTCAAAAAAAACACCGCATATTCTCACTCATAGGTGGGTGATGAAAAATGAGAACACATGGACACAGAAAGGGGAGTACTAAACACTGGGGTCTATTGGGGGGAAAAGGGGAGGGCCAGTGGGAGGGGGAGGTGGGGAGGGATAGCCTGGGGAGAGATGCCAAATGTGGGTGAAGGGGAGAAGGAAAGAAAAGCACACTGCCATGTGTGTTCCTACGCAACTGTCTTGGATGCTCTGCTCATGTACCCCAAAACCTAAAATCCAATAAAAAATTAAAAAAAAAAAAGAAAGAAAAAGAAAAACAATTACAATATTTAACATAAAAATATTACAGAATAGTGTGATTGGAAATGTAGTGAGAAAATGTAATCCTGTGTTACCACATCAATGAAACTAGAAGATAACTATCTAAACAGGGGTAAATGGTTTCTTACTGTCTTAAACTCTTTGTATTGCTCCAGTTGATATTTGACTGCTTTGTATGTAGATAATGCTAATTAAGAAAAATTAAAATCTATTTTTCTCTATGCTCCTAAAAAATTTGGAAAGTACAAAAACAAAGTTGAAGAAAAGAGAATTCTGAACAGTCCCCGTTACCATTTTGTTTCCTTCCTGGATTTGTGTATTGATATATTTTTTCCCTGTTTGTTTTTTGCCACTATTTAAAAATTTACAAGTCTCTTGAGGCAAAATGGTCAACCCTAGAAGCCCTTAGAAAAATGCAAAGGGCCTCAAGGAGACTAAGGGCAGCTAACTAAAAGTGGATTTCATTCACAGATCTCCTCACAGGCCAGAGAGAGCACGCTGTCATTTAAAAAGCCAAAAGAAAACCCCGTTCCCTTTCTGTAGCACTAGAAAAAAGGATATTGCCTTAAATTGATCCATTTGAGAGGTATAAGGACAACCAAAACACTTATCAAAGTTAAAAAGCCGCCTTTTTTTCTAATACAGGACAGCACTTCCTTGAGGTTGGCATCTGTTCAGCAGGACACAGAGGTTGCACTGTGTGGAGAAGGAATGAGCTAAGGAGAATGTGTAACAGACAGCAGTCACCAACCCTGAAGCTTTCTGCTGCTTCCAAAATACAGGTACTGCAAGGCTAACGCAACTGGTATTGTGAACACATCTGTTCTCTCCATGATGAACTGGCCAGGTTAGACCTGTGCTCTCCAACATAATCTGGCACATGTGGCTACTGATCCCTTGAAAAGTGGCTAATAAGGCTAAGAAACAGAATTTTAAATTTTATTTAATTTTAACTAAGACTTAATGTGAAAAATTGTTACTTGATTCCACCTTTGGCAAAAATTTGAGTAAGTTTGGAGTAACTCGGCTATATACAATTTTCTTTTTCAACTATAAAACCTAACTAAAGATCAAATATTTCTCATAAAAATAGTTTTGTCTGAATTTAGATGTGTTTTAAGAGTAAAATACATATCATATTTTGAAGACAGTACAACAATGAAAAAGAATGAAAGACATCTGATAAGTTTTTTATATTGTTGAAATGATAATATTTTAGATATATTAGGGGAATTAAATATTTTATTAAACTCCATTTCCCCTGTATCTTTTTACTTATCTTAACTTGGTTACTGGCATATTTAAAATTACATGTATGGCTCTCATGTTTCTATTGGCATGCACTGGTTTAACATACCCTAGAAAATGTTCCCTAAGAAATAATTTAAATCATCTTTTATTTCCCATGAACCATTATGTGCTAAAATAGGTATTTTATAAATGCTATCACAGTTAATCTTTATCATAATCTAGCAAAACAGGGAATATCATCATTTTATGAAGGAGAAAATGAAGGCTCGGAATAGTTGAGTGATTTGCCCAAAATCACATAGCTAATAAGTAGCAGAGGAAGATGTGAGGCCACATCTACTTTCTTTCTTTCTTTCTTTTTTTTTTTTTTTTTTGAGATGAAGTTTCGCTCTTGTTACCCAGGCTGGAGTGCAATGGCACGATCTCGGCTCACCACAACCTCTGCCTCCTGGGTTCAAGCCTCAGCCTCCCAAGTAGCTGGGACTACAGGCGTGTGCCACCATGCCCAGCTAATTTTTGTATTTTTAGTAGAGACGGCATTTCACCATGTTGACCAGGATGGCCTCGATCTCTTGACCTTGTGATCCACCTGCCTGGGCCTCCCAAAGTGCTGGGATTATAGGCATGAGCCACTGCGCCCGGCCTACTTTCTTTTTATTATACTGCTTGGCTCCTTTTCCAAGGAGAAGGGTAATTCTTTCTCAGTACTGAAGTCTCGAGATGAAAATTGCCAAGCAAGCGAATACTGAATGCATTTATGGGGGTGGAGAAGAAATAAAGCCATAGATAATTAAAATCTAAATGAAAATGATTCTCCGATACTGGTTAATGGTGAAGAATGTACCTGCATGGAAACTGCCTGGACCATGCCTAGTTTACCTCCAATCTCAGGTGGAAATAAAGATACAATCAATACTTAAAAGAAATCCAGTGCAGCAGCAGAGTTCTAATTCTATATACAGCCACAGTCCAACTCCTCACTAAATGTAGAATGGTCTGACTTTCCCTACTGAGATCAAGAGGCTACCTAGTTAATCTGAGCTGTACGTTGTTCTCTTAGACAGTTGACCAACTACTGAGCTTTAGCAATGAGCAAGTCATCCATTCGAGGAAAACATCTCCTGGTGTTAAATCTATGTGCATACCATAGCATAATGGAACCAAGCCTGAGGTACTTAAGAGAATGATTGGGTATTTAGAGGGAAATAATAAAGATAAGAGAATAATTTCCAACCATCCAAGGAATGAATCAGGGGGATTAAATATAATTCATTGGTATTACCTGCACAGTAATCTTTGACTGGCACAGTGCAGGTTAAAAAGCACAAAGACTTCCTCTCAAATGGCCATTTTTATTGACTTATATCTGAGCCATCTTTTCTAAAGAGAATTTATTTGGTTTATAACCCTTCTTTAGCCAACACAGCATCCCATTTTTCACATATAATAGTAGAGATAATGCAAACAGCAATCAAATGCTTGAATGAGAGTCAAATTAAGGGTAGATCATCAGAGTGCTATTTATTAACGTTTTTTCATTTTATTTATATTGAGAAGGTCTTTGGGCTGTGTTATTTGACAAAATCCTTCACTCTCTTACCTTAACCCATCCCTACATTCTGTACAGTTATGGAATTCAGTACATGTCTTGCAGTTTTCACTGCACTTCCGGCAAAGATTTTTCTCTGTTAAAAAAAAAAAAAAAAAGAAAGTTATAAATCAGCTGGTCAATTGGATTCCATAGAAGCATCAGAGATGTTCTAATGCTTGCTAATGTATGCTATAGTACCCGTGGCCTTGGGTAGAAAATTGCAGGAAGAGCCCCAGAATCACTATTTATTATCATTTCTCAGCAAACCAAGTACAGCCAGGAACTGGAACACTGGAAAACACCTTAGATTTCTCTGCCATTTTGCAGACAAGAGAATGATAGCCTAGCTAATTCTTAGTTGAATAGTTTATAGGCCTTTTGTTTTTGACTTTATGACTGCAAGGTAAGGATTTCTTATTTCTTACATTGTTTATTTTAAACATTTAGTGTCTTGCACTTTATAGCAAGACACTAAAATAACTATATGTTATAATTCAAATAATATCTATATTCTAGAGAATAGAAATGTAACATTTGTACAAATATACTGTGAATGTCTGCTTTCCTAGTTAATACCAGGTCTATATTGAAAAAAATCAGCAAATTTATGGTTGTTTTGTGGAGGAAAATAGTGACTTGGCATATTAAGGAAGGCCTTCTACCTTAGACAAAATTTTGCTGAAGTCTTGGTACCTGCTCTGATATGCAGGTGGATTATATCCATGTGAATGTGTAGAACTGAATGAAGCTTTCTTCATGGGCTTCCATCTGCTTTTTAAAAGTTCACATTCTTCAGGGTTCCATAGAGAAATACAGCTTAATGGATCCCTACAAGAACTTGCTGGATCAAGTCTGAGCCTCTGAGCATGAAATATGAAGCTCTTAAAATCTTAACAATAGCCATCACATGGTCTCCCTCACTGTCTCATGGAGAATACTGCACGTGCATAGAATCTTAACTCACATGACCTAGATTTGCATTCTGCTTTTAGCACGTCCAGTGGGCAAGTTCAGGGTCTCTGTTGTCTTGCTCATTAAATGGAGATTAGCCACCTTTCCAGTTGTCTTGAGAAGTTAAATAGATCATTCAAGAGAATGATATGAACTATTAAGCACTGTAAATGTGTTGGCAGTAATTATTACTAGTCATGATCATATGTGATCATGTACATAAATGCTCATTAGAGGAGAAAACTGTAACAAGGCAATTACATAGAGATACGCAAACCACTTGTATCAATACTTCATGGTAGCTGAAGTCATAGTTTGAACACCTTAATTATCCACCTTCTAGGCTCTGAAAACAACTGACTCTCAATTACCTTGGTTCCATCATACAACATTCTAGAATAAAATTTCTTTTCCAAGGCTCAGCCTTCTTAATAGAATTTTGACTTTTTTTTCCCCACAAGGAATACTGCATATTTCTGTGGATTCTTTATGCCCCCTTCTCTCTCCCAGTTTCTCCTTTCTCCCTCAAGGCAACGTTCATGTTCTAAATTTTGGGACAAGCAAGAACAATAGCAGAGTCCCCACCCACTGCCCTAAAGGGTAAGTTGAGAGACTTTCTTTGCCTCACAGAGAAATGCACTTTGAAACCAGAGAGAATTTCACTTCTTAAGAAGCAAGAGTTTCACTTCAGATTTCTTGTCTGATTTTATTTTAAACAACTCTTGTTCCTTTAAACTTGAGTTTTCTTTTTTTCCCCCTTAGGTTGTGCAGAAACGTGAAATTTCAGTGTCATTTTATACTATGGTATGATTTCCTTGTTAAGAGAATTATCCAGAGCTCAGAAATAAAGTAAAAGATAACTGCAGTCCTGTTCAGAACCATACTACAGCACTGTCTAATAGGTTTACCTTAAGACTATTTAATTCTCTATGGGAATACACCTTCCTCTGTTTCATAATGATGGCTGATGAGGGCCCAAACTCTGCGTTAACACACAGATGTTGTTAGGTAAAGTTGCAAGTTACTTCCATTCATTAGAACAAAAAAACACTCCCCAAAATTCTACATGGATTGCAATGTAGAAAATTATTGAATTATTTCATTTTGTTTTCAACTGTGCCTCTCCTGGTGGACTGCAGTACCTGATCACCTTTCAGCCCTGTTTGTCACCTTGCAAGTTCCCTCATTAGTGGGTTAAGCAAGTCTTTGACAAATGTTCATTCCACTCTTAAAGTCATAGTTTTTGAACTTTTAAAAAAGTATATTTTGATATCATACAGGCCTGGTGTCTATTTGGTGAGTGTGCAGCAAAGAGGCTTGAATGTTGTCCTTCGCAAATCTGCTTGTAAGGTTGGCCCATGGCTGGCATGTCTGGGAACCTGAATTTTGGTAGGGTTCCCACTACCCTGAAAAGAGTGGCCCACTTTGTCTAAACTGTTTGTATAAACAATACAGTTTATGGTGAACACCTATTTTCCTTTGAAGGGTCTGGAATTTTGGTATGTGTCAGGTCTGACCAGCCCCCAGTGACAACCCTGGGTCCTGAGTCTCTAATGAGGTTCCCTGGTAGACAATATTTCATGCATGTTGTCACAAATTGTTGCAAGGGAAACTGAACATGCCCTGTGGGGCCCAACTTTGTCTATATGCCTTTTCCCTTTGATGATTTTTTGCTGTAATATCTCTTATCTGAGTTTGTGAGCGCGACTATATCCTGAGCCTTGTAAATATTCCCAGCAAATCACTGAGTCTGGGGGTAGTGTTCAGGATACTCTGACAAAGTTACAGGCATTTTTACATAAAGCTTCTAAAGGGTTCTCTTAAATTAAATGAGCTAGATCCTGTTTGTTATGAAGCACAAGTCCACATTTCATAAAGAGGACTATCCCTTCTGAAGTCACTCAAATGAAAACCCCACATTTCTTCGCTAAAACCCAAATATTTGAAGTGAACTTACTGGTGTCCTGATATGACCCATCAGGGCAGTGAGTAACACAGCTGTTGATTTCTTCATTCAGAAAGTATCCATATTTGCAGGACAGGCACTGGTCACCATGGCTCCCAAAGCAGGACTCACAGTTGGGGGCACACTTCCTGCAGCGCTTCTTGTCGGCATGGTAGTGGCCAGGGGGGCAGCTGGAGACACAGATCCTGCATTGTGAAGCAATAAGAAAGAGGGCAGCATCACGAGCAATCCAGTCTTCAGCATTCTCTTAGAGGTGCTGAGCAAATGGCTGAGCTCAGCCTCCAAATCACTCTTGAACCAGGATGCCAACACCACATCCATTTTGTTTGTTAAATTTCTTCCGGCACAGGGTGCTGAAATAGCAATGAAGTTAACTAATACCAAGTCCACCAAAGACTTGTCAAACCATTTCCTGGTTTGCACCTAGTTCTTAAAAAAAGATGATGGTTACAAACAGGAAGGTTATGGTGGTGAATCAGAGCAAAAGTATGTGGGAACCACCACTTTATTCAAAAAGGTCCCTTTAATAATGTGTGACTTCTATTTTCGTGTGTTGTCATATGGATCCTGTATGTGCATGTTTGAGTGGTGGTTGTAGGCTGTTGCCTAAACTAATATAAATAAAAGGTTATGTTGTGTGTAAGAACACTCAAAAACTTCCTTGTTTGCCCATAATGGAAGGACAGAGCTTTATTTATCCATTCAGTAAATATTTACTGTGTACCAACTAAATGTCAGGCATTTTGCTAAGTGGAGGAGATAGCAGAGGCTGTGAGATAGCCAAAGTCCTCCTTTCTCTTAAAGAATTTAAATTCCAGCCGACTTAACACGTCTGGGTCTGTCTGTGGGACTGGAATATGGAGGAACCATGGGGGGCAGCTCCACTTAGTGAGTTTCTTCCTGAAGGAGGAGGGAGAAGGGGGGCGGGGCTGTGGGAGACTAGGCAAGGGCAGGATGAACTCTGATTGGGGCAGTTAGGATTCCTTGGCCCTGCCCAAGGAAACACAACTGCACAGCTCAAGCAGACACCAGGGGCTCAGAAACAGTCTACCTCAGTATCCAGGGCAGAAGAGTAAGATCAGGCAGGACCAACCTCTTTGCCACACTGATGGCCTACGTGCTGGGGAATGTGGAAAAGCAATCAGTTTCGCCTGTGCACTGGCATCTTCATGAAGCCATGGCATCAAATATCAGTGGGGTGGAAAGGACGCAAAACTTGTGTGAGATGGGAGGAGTACGTTCAAGAGATCTATTGTCATCATGACAATAGGGTTAATAACGATTGTATACTTGAAAATTGTCACCAGAGTAGTGTTTAAGTGTTCTGGCCACAAAAAAAGATAAGTATGTGAGCTAATACATATGTTAAATAGCTTGATTTAGTTGTTCTAAAACATATATATATATAAATATCACGTTTTGCATTATAAATATAGGCATTTTTTACTTGTCAATGAAAAAAGAAAAAAAAAGTCTGGAGGGGCATGTGCTTAGCTGCTCCCTCCATATTCCTCCGAATGTGAGTGAAGACATTTGCAGTTTCACAACATACATGCACATTTTGTGTTTTGTTACTCAACATAGTTTTCACCACTCTGAATGAATGACACAGGGAGGCAGTCAGCCTGCACAGCAGCCTCTTTTGTATGCTTAGTTCTGGTGGGAGAATAGTGGAAGATGCCAGCAGCCTGCATGCACCACATGGTATTATTAGCCGTGCAGAAATCCCTAAGATGCCTGGGACATGCTGTGGGATGTGACTTGGCCCCTCTCTTACCTGGTGTTGTTTTTCAGCTTGTAGTAGTAGTGCAAACAGTCACTGCAGTGGTCTGGTCCTGGCCCGTCACAGCCAACCTCACTGCACTCAGGGTCGCAGGGACCTTTCCAAAAGATATTAGAACAATATTTGGAAAAATGATTTTAGAGCAGGTCAGCTTTACCTTGAATTTGGTATAAAATAAGACTTTTTTTTTCTTATGCAGTGAGTTTAAGACAGACGAAGAACGGTCAATGTGGCTTTAGGTCCAGAGATGAACTGTTGACTTTTTTTAACTTTTGATTCTTAGGCAACCTCAATTGCCTAGGTATAAAGAATGTAAATCCTAGCCATGGCCTGGTCTTCAAAGCACATATGGCTGCCTTGTGGGAGAGAAGCATTTCAGAATTCAAATGAACTGTAGCAACTGGAAAAAACCAACTGCAATTAAGTGTGTGTAATAATAAAAATACTGAATTTGTAGAAAAGTGAGAAGTTGTTGGCAAAAAAGAAAAAAGCATTATTATTTAATGCCTGGACCAAATGACCATCTCATTTAAGGTCATTAAAGCTATTGAATACCTCTGAAACACTGTGGCCAGAAAGAATCATCATCACGGCACCTGGCACAAACTTATCAGCTTGCAGTCTCAGACACATCCTTTGTGTAAGATACAATTTTAAATCTATTATTTCAGATAATAGATTTAAAACTGTATCCTACACAAAAGCCAATGGACAATTCAACAAAAGAAAATGACAAATAAATTTAAAAAATGCAAGCAAGCTTAAAGGATTCCAGACCTGGGCTGAAAGTTCCCAATCTCTCTTACTACATTTTCTTTGGTATCGAACTGGAGAGAATACACAGTAAGAAAAAAAAAAATGCCAGAAAGATGGAGCTATTTTGTGATTGATGAAAAGCTTTTAATGATATGGGCTAGTTATTGAAGTTTTTAATTCTCTTCTTTGTTCTCCATATTCTGGAATATTTGGTCTCATAATATGCATACTCTTTCCCACTGAAAATTCATATTTTAATTAGCAATAAAGATATTGAATGAAATGTACAAATAGTAAGTCAAGGGTAGTAGAAATGTTTTGAACTCTACTTATTTTAATCAAATGGACTTACTGTTATACCTTAGTTTCTTTGAGTCAATATGAGATTATGTTTCATAATTACTGAATCACAGAAACATAAAATGTTAGAACTGGGGTGGAATGACAGAGAGAAAAATCTACAGTCAAACACCCTAATTTTACTGATGAGGAAACTGATTTTCCGAGAATTTCAGTGGCTTGCCCAGTATCACATGGTGAGGAGAGGGGATCAACATAGGTCCTGACACCTAGGTAAAAGCTTCCTGCTTAGAGGTAGCAAATCACGTACTAGGGGTGACTTCTCCATCTGAATGGAAATAAGTCATTTCAAAATGCTGCAGCCTTGAATATACTTCTGATTAACTGCAAGTGTCATCTGACAACCTGCTTATTTCTGTTTTCCCCACAGCTTCAAATGATTTCTAAATTCCATAGCTACTGCAACTTGGGACATTTTAGCCATCTGCCATCATACACCAGAGGAGTGGTGTCTCTGCTGCCTATGGACTGAAGTTCAGCCAGCTGTGATCTCATAGTCCCTGGGATCCAATGAAGCGGTACAGGGATCTGGTTATGATAACACCATCTGTGCCTCTAATCTGGCAGACTTCTAAATGAAGGTGAATAATCACAGCTCCAGAGGAAAGGAGTCATGGGTGGCCCTAAATTTTTACCAGATGACTTCTAGAATAAAAATAAAATACCAAACATTTATTGTTGATATTTGCCAAAAATGCTCTGTATGGCAAGTTCACATGCTATGCTTCTATGTTTCTTTTATCATCATAAATTGTCCCAGATGCAGTTTAGCATTGTAGGTTGCAGCATAATCATGAAATGATTGTCTTGGTTCTCTCATAAGTGCCAGTGTTGATGTTTTAGAGATCTAATCAGAAACACTACAAGATGTATAACTGTTCTGAATCTCAACATTCCAAAATTTGAATGGGAAACATTACGGAAACATGAATAAAGAGTAGCAGCTTACTATTACACTCTGTTTTTTGGATATACTTTCTCCTATCAGAGAAGACAAAACGGTTTGCTAGTTAAAATATAAATAGTAATGCTATAGGCTCAAAGCAAAACATCACAAACTCAAACAATCTAGCCCTGATTAGCTCAATTGGTCTCCATTTCAAGTGTGTTTATTGATTCTAGGATGCTATCTGTTTAGAATAAATGTAACTACATGTATATTCACTCTGTTTGGGCTGGGCACAGTGGCTCACGCCTGTAATCCCAACACTTTGGGAAGCTGAGGCGGGTGGATCACTTGAGGTCAGGAGTTCGAGATCTGCCTGGCCAACATGGCAAAACCTCATCTCTACTAAAAATACAAAAATTAGCAGGACGTGGTGGCACACACCTGTAATCTCAGCTGCTCAGGAGGCTGAGGCATGAGAATTGCTTGAACCCGGGAGTTGGAGGTTGCAGTAAGCTGACATGGTGCCATTGTACTCCAGCCTGGGTAACAGAGCAAGACTCCGTCTCAAAACAAAAAACAAAAAACAATACTCTGTTCAGGTGGTTAATGAAGTACTTTTATTTTTAGTATTTAGAGGAAAATCTCAACTGAAAGAAAAAATAATTCTCATCTAACGATACATTAAACTTATATTTGTAAATACATTTTTTTTGGATAGAGTCTTGCTCTGTTGCCCAGACTGGAGTAAAGTGGTGCTATCACTACAACTTCTGCCTCCTGGGTTTAAGTGATTCTTGTGCCTCAGCCTCTGCAGTAGCTGGGATTACAGGTGCATGCCACCATGCTCAGCTAATTCTTTTTTGGTATTTTTAGTGGAGATGAGGTTTCACCATGTTGCCTAAGCTGGTCTCAAATTCCTGAGCTCAGACAATCTGCCGACCTCAGCTTCACAAAGTGCTGGGATTACAGCCATGAGCCACTGTACCTGGCCTATAAATAGTTCTTCATTAGGAGCAGCTTTGTCCATTATGTGTTATATGTCATACCTCAGAAGAACTGAATGCTCCCAGGAGTGTTAGCCAGTGCAACAAGACAGTAATCAGAAATAATGATAAGAAGGACTATAAAACCAATTTGCAGATGATAAGGCTATAGTACCTACACCATCTGAGAAAACCCTATAAATTAATGAGAGAGTTAAGCAAAGTGGCCATATATAAAATAAATACAACTAATAGATTTCCTACGCACCAGCATATACTAGTTAGTTAGAAATCATGGAGTATTTTCCACTATAAGAGCAACAAGACCCAAAATACTTAGGTGTAACACTAACAAGAAGAAAACTACATAAAATATTTCAGTAAAATGGGACACGATCTATGTTTTAAATGGAAAGATTGTATGTTGTAAAAACAATTCTTCCCAAGAGATTGTATATAAATTCAAATTAAATTGCAATGAGACTTTTAAAGGGAGACTTAAAAATCATGCTAAAATTCATCTGGAAGAATAATAGGGCAATAATTGCTATAGAAATGGGAAGCAGATGTTCTACAAATATAAAAATACATCATGAAATGAAAATAAAACAGTGTGGGTGGTATTGGTTGAAGAATTATTAGATTGATGAATGAGAAAAGGTGGAACCAGAAATAATGTTGGGATAAGAACTTACTATATTGTAATAAAGGAGGTATCCTAAACTACTAAAAAAAGAAGGGATAGTTAGTCAATGATCTTAGTCTATTTGGAAAATAACTAAAGACAGAGCTTCAACTGACACTATATGTCATAAACCAAAATGAGTTCCAGATGAATTAATGGCTAAATTTAAAAAATAAGAAATTACCCAACAAATATGCAGCAGACATGAAAGGATAAAACTTCAGCAAAAAATCACAGTGTTACACCCGAGACCATAAGCCCCAGCCTCTGAAAGTTTTTTCTGTCAAAACAACACAAAGCAAAACAAAACTTACATTCTCAGTGATAAGTGAGAATGTTTTCAGCAAATATGAAACAATGTGAGAGACAATAACATACAGAGTGTTCATAAGTAGATAACAGGATTACTGCACCTTGAATAGAAAAATGAGTAAAAGACAGTTGTATTTAATTCAGAGAACTGCAGAGGAAAAATGTTTAGATTTACAGGCAATCAAAGCTGTAACATTTGAAAAACGTTCATCTCTTCCTTTTTTACTTTCCTTTTCTCTTTAGTTTTTTTTCTGTTGGCAGAAATGAGTGTAATAAACAATCACATAGCTGATCACAGTGTAGACTGGTACATCTTGTCTGGATAGCAAGTGACAAAATGTTTCCAAGCCCTAACACTGATTATCCTCTTTGATTCAGTAAGTATCAAAACAGAACTCTATTCTAAAGAAATAATGAAGATACAGACAAAGATTAATAATGATGTTTATCCAAATCATGTTTAAAATAGTGTAATACTCTGTAAGTGAGCTATGTGTCCCAGATTATGGATTAACTCTATTACAGTACAGTCACAGTATGGGCTATTAGCTTTGTAATATGGGTATTTGAATATATGAGTGCACTGATATACACAAATATTTAAGGGGATAAAAATAAGATGGAAGAAAATATGTCATAATGTGGGTAGTATATTATTCTGTTCTATTCTCCCATTCCATTCCATTCTATTCCATTCTCACATATGGTGGAATGACGCATGAGCTTTCTCTCTTTAGGTTGTGTCTCGCTGGAAGCTAGCTCACCTGCATAATCCTCTGTGCCATAGTCATCTGTGGGGTCTTCAACTCGGCTATAGCGGAAGCGTTCCACTTTAGGAAACTCATTGGTTGGTGAATATGGCTGCACGGAGGTGCCATAGAGGACCAAAGACCATTCTTTCAATTTACCTTGAGAAATAACAATAAAATCACAGCATGACCAAATTTTTACTCTAGCTTTGTAATATCTTTAAGTCCTTCTCACTCAAGAAAAAGCAACAGAACCAGGGGAAGCAGATAGATATGAATCACCACGTCAAACACAGAGCTGGAAATGCCTATTTCTCACTATTTGCAAAATTAACTATTTAACAATTCACAGACTACATATTTAATAAGCACCTACTATACAGGAGAGGCCTTGATTTAATCAGCATTTATAGGAAGACTGAGAAACAAACACACTGCAGATTGCCAGATCAAGGGCTAAATTTCAAATTACCAGTATTTAAGAGAATCCCAGGATTTAATAAGAAGGCTTTGCTTTTCTAGGTATAAAAGTATTATTTGAGCTTTAAAAAATTTTTGGCATTATCTGACTTGTTAATAAGTAGACAGAACAACTCTTTGTTCTCCCTAATTCCTGATATCAGTCATTCAATAATAAGAATACATCACTAATTACACTAGTCTATAGACCTGTGCTATCCAATATGATGGCTATTACACATTTGATTATTTAATGTTAAGTGAGCTAAAATTAAGAAAAATTGTGAGATTCAGCTTCTCCATGACACTAGCCGTATTTCCAGTGCTCAATAGATATATGTGGCTAGTGGCCACCCTACTGGAGGGCATTTCCACCATTGCAGAATGTTCTACTGGACAATGTGCAAAACAACATTTTTTTTTATCTTGTTCTGCTTCCCAGGCTGGAGTGCAATGGTGGAATCTTGGCTCACTGCAACCTCTGCCTCCCAGGTTCAAGCAATTCTCCTGCCTCAGCCTCCCAAGTAGCTGGGATTATAGGTGCCCACCACCACACTTGGCTAATTTTTGTATTTTTTAGTAGAGACAAGGTTTCACCATGTTGGTCAGGCTGGTCTCGAACTCCTGACCTCAGGTGATCCACCTGCCTCAGCCTCTCAAAGTGCTGGGATCATAGGTGTGAGCCACCACGCCTGGCCAAAACAGCATTTTCTGGTCAAGAACTGGATAACTGAGGCCAGTCTTTCACCTTCTATGAATTTGGATCATTCACAATGAGCATTTTGTTTTACTTTAGTTCTTACTTGTTAACTTATTTCTTAGCTTCATAAAATTAGTGTTCAATGCCAAACGTTAAAAAAAAGGAAACATGCCTCCAGTTCATTAAGGTTAGTAAAACTGACCTCAAAAGCAATCAGCTTTAAGCAGAACATAGGGGTATGCTGGTAGGAAGGCAGGATGCTCCTCAGAACCCCTCTCACCTCGGCTTAATGCACAGAATCCAGGCAAGGTCAGGGGCTAGGGTCTGGGGCCAGCTCAGAGAGTGATGGATTTCAGCTATCAGTTTCCTTCATCTATTAGCACCTACCATCACCATCAAATCGATGTTTGATATTTTTAAGTGCTTGCCATATGCTAAGCACTGGCCTAAGTGGTTTGTAAGTTTTATTCCATTCAATGTTCAAAACAACTCTAAGGTAGGTACTAAGATTCCCAATATATAAAGGAGGAAACAGAGGCAGAGGTTGGTAACTTCCTCAAAGGCAGTAAGAGAACAGACTGAAATTAAAACATACTCTGAGTCCAAATCCTATGTTTTAAAACTATATGCAATATTGTTTCCTATTCATTTCTAGTTTAGGAGTCTGACCTTTAAAAATGAACACATTCTATGATGCATGTATTTTTTTCTGACTTTCACATTGGACCAGTACAATTGGTTTATGTATGGTTTGCCCTCTGCCAGCTTTTCTTTGGACTCATTTGTTAATGACCATGCTTTTCACAATCAGGGTGTTATTCAGGCCCAGCATTCTAAGTAGCATGCATTAGGTAGTGGCAAGAAGTGAATGACTGCTGGAAACTGATGACCTATCTGATTGCCTTTAGGTAGCAGTGCAAAAGAGAGCGCATTTTCCTTATGGCATCTCTCAAGTGTAAAAATGAAGCATATAATACAAGGATACTATGGGTCATCCCAATCACCAGTCACCTTAAAACTTAGTTCATTTATTTAAGATCATTTTGAATGTAAAAGTTTTCTCTCTAAGTGCTCTGAAGACTGCTGTCTCAGAATTGATTATTTCCCTTTATGCCATTTCTGAAGGATATCATAAGCCCACTAGGGATATCCTTCCTGTGTAATTCATCTCTTTATATTTCACTTGTTATGTAATTTTATTTTCTTAGAACCTCTACTATGATTTACATCAAATAACTGCCATATTTGGGCCATCATTTTATTCTCCTCTACCCCCTTTCCTGTTTGCTAAATTCTATAGATGATTTTGCATTTATTATTGAAACATGTTATGAAATGCTGTGTAAATACAGCAGGATAAAAATCTACTTGCTAACACATAAATGCAATAGGCATCCATAGATTTATTTGCCAAAAATTAACACCCAAACACTCTTAATATGTATTGTAATAATAAATTGGAAGAAACAATAAATATAAATTCAGTTTGGAGCCAGGAACTTTTATGTTTGGGGATGATTCTACCATTTAATTGGGCTAGAAAATTCTACAGATCCAATTGAATTTCTGCTTGCTTCCTGATGTAACCCATTATTAATCAGAGAGGAAGAAACCTATCACAGGACTGTATTCCACAAAACAATAATATAGTCACATGCTTGTGCATGCACACACACATACATCCATAAAGAAGACACTCAAAGTTCCTTACTAAAGGTGTAACTAATTCTGAAATGGAAGGTTGTTTGAAGGAAAGATACACAAAAGCCATGTGTTTCTATTAAAGTCTCTAGGTCAGTAACAGCATTAGGGTATCTCTCTTCCGGCATAAAAAGAACACCTCAATACTTCTAAAATGACTGGAGGTAACTAGGGTTAAGTGTGAACATTTAAATAGTATAAAGAGGTGCCAACGTTGTGAAATAGATAACTCTAGATTATCTGAGTTGCTGTAGCGTTTTAAACACACATAATCATAGTAAGCTCTGAATAGACTCAGAACTTCTTGAGGGCAGAGGGATTTGTATTCATGGCCTCTGATCCTTACATGCGATGCATGGTTAACCAGTAGCCCTTAGGAGGAGCCTGGTCTTATCATGGAGAGTAGAATTGCTGGTGTCTGGTGGTAATCATGAACAGAGTCACTTTTAGTAAGTTTTATAACTGTTTAAAATGCTCAGTAATGTACTCTTTATGTCTGCACCTCCCTTGGTACACAAATGCCTCCTCCTTTCGACAGTGTTTATTTCTCTGGAGTCTTCTTGCCCTGTAAGAGTCCAGCAGTGATGCATGCTAACAGGTCACAGCCCAGTCACCAGGCTTCCATTTCACCTACGTGCCATAAATCTGTGCATCCTCATGGAAGGGGAAATAAGCATGCACTGCAGAGAGGAAGAAAGGAGAGAGGAAGGTCCTGGGAACTATGTAGATGACTAAGAGGTGGAAGGGTCTAGAAACTCTGTTCTATAATCTGCATGTTTTCTCTATCAATCCTGTCTTATTGACAAATACTTGCTTTCTTGATAAAAGCTTGGTAACCACTATATTCAGGCTGAATCCTGGAGGGGAGCTAGGCACAGATACTCTTTAACAAAACATTTATTCTGATTCATTGTGACCTGGATTTGACCTCCCTGATTATGGGACCAGTTTGGCAACAAAGATGAACCTCATCACAGAATGAGGGAAAAGAGAAAACCAACATGTACAGTCAACAATGGACCTCTCAGAATGAGTAACTTTCTCAGATTGGCAGGCAACAGTCTGGCAAATGTGTCCTTTATCCCTGTGTTCTGCTGTGTGCCTCCTCTGTCCTGTGTACCTATCTGTATCTGAATGGTATGCACTCCTACAGTTACAGAATGTGTAGGTTACTTCATTCTGTAATCTGGGGAGGGCTAGAACTGGATGTCAGTCCTAAAACTTCCCCCAAGCCTGGTTCTTCTAAAGAGGACTGGATAGAGCATTGAGAAGAGGACTTTATCTGACAGCTGAAGATGTGCTCATGGATGGATGGGAAGCTAGCTAATTATCAAACAGATCATTTGCTGCTGAGCCAAGTACTCTGTAGGGCTCTGTAATGGGCGACACAGTATCTCACCCATGTTGCCTTGTACTTTCCCTTATTTTATATTATAAACAAGCTTTACACATTAGCATGAAGCGGGGAAGAGGCTGTGTGCAGAAACAGACTCAGAACCTACCTGAAAAGATCTTTGTTAATGTCGTAATTTCTGTTTTACATCTCAAGAAGGGTTTCTTTTTCCTTGGCTCTTGGGCTCATGCAGGGTGGAATACCATCATCATTTTCTTTGGTGGTATCCAGATTAGCTGGCATAGACCTAGCTCAATGTCTTGCCTACACTGAAAAGTAAATTTAGGGAAAACTAAAAAGAAATAGAGTACTAAGGAAACCTGTCTCTTCTTGTGAAATAATGCGACTGAACTCATTGACACAAAGTAAGTCTGGAAAGCTGATCATGTATTCTGAAACATCAATCAAAAGCTGTCATGTTTTGTTCTATAATATATGTATTCTTTATTTCCTATCCTTAAATTGTTACCTCTTGAATGGTAATCTTGAGAACTCAAATATGTGCAGGTAATTCAAAGCACACATGAAATGAAATCACATGAAAAAAGATGATGCTAATATGGGTGAGTGTGACGCACTCTTTGGCCAAAACATACTCCATCATTTTCTTCTACACAGTAGACCAATGTATAGAAAGGGAGTTCTCACCTGGAGTCTTAAAGTTCCTTAGCTGAGAGGGAGTATCATACACTTCAAGGACCCAGTCACCAGCAGCTCGTTCTCCCCAGCAATGAATGGTCATGAACTCCCAGTTTTTAAATCCTTCCATGGAATGATCAAATAGCCTGAAAGAGAACCATAAAACATCGTTATGTACAGTATTTCAAATCCAGTGAGGGTCTAGTTAGGGCTACCATCAATACTTTTTTTTGGTATTCATTAGCAAGTTCAGCTGGGTGCTGGAGCTTCTCTGCATTCTGGAGGTCACTAATTTGCAGATATATATCACCGCTTTGCCACAGAGAAACAGAACTGGGGCTGGGTATGTAACAGCAAATCTGGAAAGGAAATCCCACTGGGGATTCAGAAAACCAGGTTACGACTTGACCTACAAGATTGACAGTAGAATATTGAAGATGTGGAGCAACTGTAGCTCTCTTCCACTGCTGATGGGAGTGCAAAATGATACCAGGCTCCTGAAAACAGTTTGTTCTTATAAAGTTACACACACACTCACCATAAGACTCAACAATCCCCCTCCTACCCATTTAAACTTCATGATAAATGAAGTCATATGTTCACATGAAAAGCTTCATATGAATGTTCATAATCCCCCCAAACTGTAAACAACTCCAGTGTCGAGCAACTGGTGAATGTGTAAACAAGTTATGGTAGAGTCGGCCCTCTGTATCTGTAAATTCTGCATCTATGAATTCAATCACAGATTGAAAAATGGATGGCTGTATATCCATACAACAAAGTACCCAGTAATAATTACTAATACATACCATGACATACATGAGTTTCAAAAATATTATGCTAAGTGAAGAAGCCAGACACAAAAGACTGCATACTGCATGATTCAATTTATATAATATTCTAGAAAAGGCAAAATTATAAGTAAAGAAACAGATCAGTGGTTGCCAGGGACTGGGGAGGAGAGGGAAAAAGAGGCATGGAGAATTTCTGAGGCTGATGGAATTGTTTTCTATGTTGACAGTAATGATGTTTTGTGGCTATACAACAAAACAGATTTGTCAAAACTCACTGAATTATTTACATTAAAAAACTGAATTATATTGTAGGTAAATTATGCTTCAGTAAAAAGACTGCCCACTAATCTTATCCAGCTCAGGGAGTTATGCCTGAAATCTCTGCCTCGATCCTGCTCTTTCAGCCCTTCCAATGATTTCCAAAGCTTCTAATTTGCAGTCTCTTTCTGCCTGAAATAGCTAGAATTATTCTGTTTCCATCAATGGAACCCTGAAAGATATAAAATACAAAAGGAAAGAAAACAAACAATCGCTTTCAAGAATAAAGAGACATTAATAATACATAATATTAGCATACTAAGAAATAAGTGGGTGCAGTGGTTCATGCCTGTAATCCCAGACTTTGGGAGGCTGAGGTGGGCAGACCACCCTGCACAACATGGTGAAATCCATCTCTACTAAAAATACAAAAATTAGCCAGGCATAGTGGTGTACTTGTAGTCCCAGCTAGTCAAGGGGCTGAGGCAGAAGAATCCCTTGAACCCAGGAAGCAGAGGTTGCAGTGAGCTGAGATTGTACTACCGCACTCCAGCTTAGGTGACAGAGTGAAACTGTCTCAAAAAAAAAAAAAAAGAAAGAAATAAACATATTACTTATACAGGTTTATAATGTAGACTTCACTACACAAATAAATATCCAAAAGATATAGAAGACATTTTCTGTAAAGATGAAACCTACATAGTGGAGAATGAAAGATGGGGCAAGTACTTTTTTATAGTACTTAAAAAAATTATGTACATCTATTATTTCACTGAAAAATAAAAAAAGAGTAAAAAATTGCAAGTGAGAGAGGCAGAGAGGAAAAATATCTCTTAAAATTTTCTTAGGAGCAATCGTGTCCAGTAACTGGGATATTTCTCTACTTCAATGGGGACAAATAGTAACAAAGGTTATGGTAAGTGAAGTTTGACTTCACTTCAGAACACACAGTCAACTCTCTTTGCTTTAATCTCATGTTTACCAGGCAAATTGGTGGTTACAATTTGGCCTTCTCTGTACATCTTCCCATTGAGAGAAAATGTGTGCTTCTAAACATAAAAATAGCTAGTTCAATCTTCGTATAACAATATATTAGAACTCTTATTTTTAAAAAACATATTCTATCAGTGTGTCTGAGGCTCTTTCTAAAATGCCAGCAGGATTCTAAAGCTTAAGGGTTCAGAAACACAATTTTGGACCATGATAGGTAAATGGCTAACACTTTGAAGTTCCCTATAGAAAAGCAGTAACAGGAAAATCACCTGCTATATGTTCCTGAACCCTTGAAAGATAAAAAAATGAAAATTATTAGGCAGCATTCTCGGGTGTCCCGCAGTCAAAAAATTTGGGAAAGGCTGAATTAGACAAAGATGAATAGAACCCTTTAATGGAGGACATCTCAGATCTTTAGAATATGCAATGTGTTTTGTTAATTTCCATAATGGGATTAATTGGAAGGCAGTGATTTTCAAACTCTACCTGGACATAAAGCCTATTCTCTCTCTCTTTTTAGAACATCTGTATATGATTTATGGATATTCCCTCTCAAAATAGAGGAGAGTGACACTTCAGTGAGGAGCCAGTTTGGATCTGGCAACTTTGCCTCATAATGACAAGGATGAAGATAGTAACTTTTTACATGAATAGTTTCCCACTTGAATGGGACCTCAATAGAGTAAGGATGTTGCACTTTATGGATATCCTACAATCCATTGAACAAGCATAATAGGCTCATTTCATAAGTTTATGGCTTAAGACTGGACTTGGACAAGAAGAAATGGCTGTGTCATTGTACATTTAACTTGCATCCATTGAGTCCTTCACTAAAAACCCACGACATGTATATGTTGGGCAAAAAGGAACAGCGATAGGGCAAGAGGAGCTTTGTCAAACTGCCCTTTCTAACAGAGGGATGTTGTATAGGGAATATGTTGATACAGAAATGGCTAAAGGCAGAAAAGCAGTTTAGAACCACTTCCCTCCTTTAGCCCCACAGCTCCAGCTTAAGTTCTAATTCGTGGGGGCCATGGTGCCATCTGGGGGCACTGAAGCAATAACTTGTCACATAATACCTCTCCAAGAGTGCCGAACTTAAAAGCAGTTCCCAAACAGTTTAGATAGAACATTTGGCTCGCTGCCTCACATCCAAAAACTACAAAGGAGACTTGAAGCTGCCATCACATGAGGGGCAGTCTCATTTCCACAACCTCAGCCAACTTTTAATCACTCATGGGTCAATGATTTGACTGCTGGATTAGCAGACCCTACGTTTTTTTCCCTTCCACCCTTTCCTGTCCACCTTTGAAAGTCATTCCATGGCTACCAATCACTTTCAAATCACATGGGGAACAAAAATTAAATATAAACTGAGTGCCAAGAAGAAATATCCACAAATCGGAATTCAAATAAGTGTTTCAAAGCCCAAACATAAATGGGCTTTGTCCATGCGGCTAAGCAGTTTTCCACCCCCTGGTCTCTTCACATTATTCAGAGTTGGAATGTTCATTAATTTCATGTGAATGTAAAAGTTGAGGAGTGGAATGAAAACACGGCCAAACACGATCATCACACTTTGTTGAAAGTGTTGATGGGGAGAAAACCAGGCATGACGGTTGTTGTGTCAACTAACTGGGCTTCACATTTCTAGTTCCATTCCGTCCTTTGTAAGTACACATAGTTGTGCATTTTAACTTGGATTCAATACTTCACCTACTTCCTATTTTCTACCAGAGTAACATTAAAGAAACTGCATCTCTGCATATAACAAAATGTAATATAGCTTGTAGATTTGCTTTGCATTGCAAAGAACATACTTGCTTAAGACAATCGAGTGTCAAACCATGGACACCTGCTAAGGAGATTCTAATGTGGGATCTTCTTTTATCAACTAAAAAGTTTAATGCCCAGTGTGAATGTCTGTGCTGTGCCAACAGGGAAGAAATCAGACACATGCCAACATTATGAGTGTGGGTAAAATGTCAATAAAGCAGATCCAGTGTGCTGAAAGCCTAAGTAGATTAACTCCATGCCTTTAGCCGCTTCTCCTCTTGCAGTGAAATTCTGTCCTGTCAAAGTTGGCTTCATAAACATGTGCTCGATGAAATGATATATGCATGTGGTGGCACAAATTATGCATCCAGTTATTAAAATGGTGCCCCACAGCTCTATCCCTGTGAGTGGTTTTTGAATAAATTACTCTGGATGAAGCCTGGTAAAAGACTGCCATCAAGTGTAGTATATTCTTTTGAGGAATTAACTCAGGAAATATATCATTACTGTAAGCTTTATTCTCCCTTCCTCCTAAAGAGTCTAGCCAATGTATCAAGGTTACAGCATTCTTATATGATGTTACGGCAACTCAATAACAAGACATTTTATAAATCCTGACAGCTATGTGTTATCATATAATTATTTCTAAAATTGTAAATGAATCTTAATTTCAGAATCATCTACTACTATTCAAACGGTATTTATATTCACTACAGAACTAGACATTAGACCAATATTCCAGGAAGCTTTCTCTTTTCTTTGTTCTATTTTTATTTTTTTAAAGTGGTTCATTGCCACTTAAGTTAGAGCTGGAAGAACTCATTGCGCTCTCCTGTAGTTGAGTTTTTGGTTTTTTAAAAAATGTTTGGCTTTTCTAAGTTTTAAATAATTTCTTCTGATACAGGGTATTTAAAACATACATGGTATTTGCTTTTTTTCTCTCTTTCCTAATCTAAATTGCTTCTTTAAGAAAGATTGAGAAGGAGAAAGGAACTGGTTCTACAGGTCTGTAATACCTAAAATAAGGTTTTTTTCTTGGTAAAAAACTTCCAATATGCAAACTATTATCAACTCGTTCACCAACCCCAAAATGCATTCCTTCTTGTGGGTACATAAGTATTGAATCTTCTTGAAGATGTAATTCATTTGAGAGTAGATGGCTTTTACTGAAGTATCTGTTTTGTATCATAAACCCCTTTGGAATTCCCTTGCACAGCATTCAGCAGCACACTGCTCCCAAGTCTTTTGATGCCACTAAAGTAATAAGAATGCGTATGAAAAAGCTGGATGATCTTTTAAATCCTTGCTATTTAAAGTGTGGTCTG